GACAGGTAAGGAAATTTGTTCTTACGGCTCTGTAGGCAAACAGAATAGGATTTTACATACCTCACTGGATTGTTGTGCTGTTCTAGTTCATTTTACACCACTCACCTCTCAAAGTGTCCAAACATCTTTGCAACATCTTGCTCAGAGCACCTTGGCAACCCACAGCCATTCCACAGTTGCTGCCTGCCATCCCTGCCTTTCTGGCAAGTGTCTGCATCATGTAAAAATGACTTGTGGCCCAAAATACCATTTCTACAAAACCAATTTCATTTGATTTCTTATCCTGGAATCTGAAGGTACTTGAAACTAATATTATTCATATATTTATGACTCATTAAATATTGACCTTCCCTTTTAAGTTGGTCTGGTTTGGTTTTAATTGTTAAGGCTCTCTTAGGGAAAAAAGTGATTTCTCTGCAAGAGTGCAAACAAGAGGTAGGGGTTCATTCTAGACTACATACAAGCAAGGTGAAAGAGTGCATTAGTTCTTTTCAAGGGCAAAAATAGAGATCATGTGAGGAATGTGCCAATTTTCCATAAATAGCCAATGGACAGCAGTTCAAGTTCCTAATTGCATTTCTGTTTTTCCAAGGACAGGGGAAAGAGAAGGACTTCAAGGAAATGAAACTCTCCAAGTACAAGTATCAGCATAATTACATTTGCAATATCTGAAAAACATGAGTTTTTCTTTCTAAGGACAGAAAGAACATGTTCTAACAAGCGACCCTGAGGTAAAGGGCACCAGATGAATTTTCTGGTTCACTCAGAATTAATGTTTTGGAGTTGAAAGATCCTCACATAAAAGGCACAGTAGGCTCTCCTGATGCTGGATAGGCATTGGAGCAGGCTGTTCAGTGGATAATGTATCCTTGCTATTCCCAGCCTTGGAAAAAGCAGATTAATCTGCTCTTCAGCACCATCTTCCTTATCACTGGCTGCATGGAAGACATTTATTTCACGGCTGAAGCTCATTGTGTAAATTAAGCATTGACCTGGCACACTGCAGATGGTGTTTCACCTTGCTGACCTCATAACCGCATCTTTTCAATGTGCACAGAAAATTTTAGTGCACCCTGCATCTGTCTTTGAGGAAGTATTTCCACTATTTTGTCAGGAAATTAGTATTCAAAGCCTAACAAAGTATAGTCAAGACTACTGATTTTCTTCCAAAATTAGCTTAAGCTTTTCCACTCATAGATACACTAAGACAGGAGTGAGCCTGTGTCACACTGTGTTTAGACAGGGAGGATGGAGGGAAAATGGGGATGGTGTGGGCAGGAGCTCTGAGACATTCCTTAACAAACTCCTTTAAAGTGCTACCTCTTATGTGGAAGCTCAGGGGAAGAAAAAGCTCAAGCTTGGATATCAAGATAAAGATGCCCAGCAGGTCTGAATTTCAAAGTAACCTTTAAAGGTTACTCCCAGTTCATAGAGGGCCTTTGTATTCATTCTTTTTGAGGGCAGGAGAGCTGAAATTTCTACCTTGGTAGTAGATTTAGGTAGAAGTTACCAGAATCCAACAATTTTCTGTTGTTTTTCTGCAAAGGATGACGAACAACAACAATTTGTTCTCAAAACATGAGAGCTTCTTTTACAGTATTGGTTATTACAGAAAATTTTTCTTGTGTCCACTCCTACACATCAGGCAGTGAACAGGACCCAGACTGTTTGGAAAACTTAGATTTTTCACTTGCAATCTCTCAAACTGTGCAGTTTTCCTGGCTTTTGTTTAACTCGGGAAACAGAGCCAATAAGGAGCACTGTTACAGGCAAAGGGAGAGCTCATTATTTTAGCTGGAATCCCACAAAGCTTAAATCATTCTAGAGATTGAAAAGAAACTTCTAGAAAAGAAACTTGAACTTGCAACAAATATTAAAATCCTAGCAAGCAGATTATAACTGTTTTACCTCAAAGCAACAAATTACATCCTACTTGGGGCATTATTGTGTTCTGCAAGAGCAGCTTTGTGACTTGATAATCAGCATTTATGTTTGTGATACTTAATGCAATTCAAAATATGTATTAGTAGTAATAAACCTGACAGTAGAAAACACACATTTCCTGATCCTGTGAGAAGAAACTTGTAATCTGCAGTCAGAAAAGTGGACTGTTACTCTGTGCTCAGCTGTAATTGTCATTCTGATAAAACTTTACCAGTAAGACACACAAGGATTTTAGTTCCTTCTCACACCTAAAGGTAATAGTCCATGCAGGAAATCTGTATAAAGTGCTTGATGCAATAGTTTAAAATGAAAGTTTACTTGAAAAAAATCAAGATGTAGGCCTCAAATCAATAGACTTACCATATTTGTAGTATTGAACCTTTAAGTTTATATCCTTCTCATTCTAATAATAAACATTTACAGAATCCAAAAATGAAGTCAAGTGGTAAAGGCAATATTTTTTATCTTTGAAATGCTGGAAGATCACGTACAGATTTTCCCCCATGTTCATTAAGCACTGTTTAACGTGTTTACACCACATCCAAGTGAAGTGATTTCAGTGCTTACACCAAAGGGTGTTTGATTTTGCAGGCACGCAGAACCACTGCCATGTACAGTTTGAGTAACAGGATGTTTCACACAGAAGAATAAAGCTAAAGCAGGTAAAAGCAAGGGACATCTCCATCCAGAATCATAATGTGTAAGGGTAAGGGACTTTCTTACAAGGAGATAAAAAAGCTGTCATCACCAAAGAATTTCATGAGCACCTCTACTAAACGAATCTGAAACCACTGCAAGATATTGCAAAATAATTACCTTTACCAGTGTTTCTGTATAATTAAAGGAGCTGTTTGAAGTGTTTGAAGCTTCCAACCAAATTTCACTGCTTAAGGAATTTCTCAAGGAGTAATCACAGCAGTTTTGAGAGCACTGTTGTAGTTGTTTTCCCCATTACAAAAAAATATTTGGATACAGTGTCAAATGTCCTCCATCAGCTTCTCAGAACCTAAAGCAGGGAGATGTTCAGCACAGCTGTGGCAGGGCTCCAGCAGTGGTAGGAGGAAAGCTTTGTCCTGTCTGCCAAGAATGTCAGGCAGGAGATGGAGAGCAGCAAGCTGAACTTTGCCTTACATAGTGGCTGACAAGGCCAGAGGTCTGTACAGCTTTCATATTTTCATTTGGCTTTACTTGCTTACAGAACTGTTAACTCTGTGGGAATCCAGGAGGAAAAAAGCTTTCATTGTAAGTAACTAATTCATACAGTGCTAAGCCTGTAGTCAGAGGTCAGCTTTCACTCTGGTACCCAGCTACTACAGAATTCTTTTAACATACCTTCTCAAAAAGACTTCCTACACATATTGCCTGGCAGGGTGGATTTATTCATCTCTTAATCTAAAGAGCCCTGATTTTTCAGTAACACACAAGAGAAAACCTCACATGACATGTCCCACATTTGTATTTCACTGGTGAGGTTTTAATCTTGCTCATGAACAGCTGAGGGAACATGGGAGCCCCCAAACCTTCAACAACCATTTTCTTGTTACCTTTACCAAAGGACAACTTACGTATTCTTAGAAGAGTTTTATTTTGTTAAAAATTTCTTGGTTTGTTGCTATTCTGGTGCCTTGATGTGACATAACACTCATTCTTCCCATTTCATTTTCATAAACCTTTTACCCCTCTAAAATACAAATGAGAGGACTGGGGCTATTGCAGTCAGGAAGTTTTGGTGGGAATTTGGTTTAAATCACAGAACAGCTTCAAACAAAATACACAGATTTTCCTCTTCACTGTAGTAAAGAGAAACAAGCAAGTAAGTTGTTTGGGGTCTGACATTTCATAACCTTTTAATGTTCTGCTTTGCAGAGTTACTCTTGATTAGAGATAACTTTGTATAAGGCTCAGTATTTTGTCTTTCCCAAAATATATTTTGGAGTGTGTATTCTTCTGTTGTTATTTTTTGTTGTTTTTGCCTTAAGTGCTTGAGCCTGGGTAGACCCATGTGTTTGGGATGTTTTTCCCCTAGCCAAAAGTCTCTTTTCCCCCAGCTCAGTCACTGAATCAATACCTTGTTCCACTGACTAATGGACACTTCACATTAGGTCCAGAACATGGATTGAAGCTGCAAAGGCATTTTGGTGCCTGACTCCTGCATGAACAACAGGAATCCCTCCCTCCACTGAGAACTGTGCTGATTATTTTTCACCTTTTCAGCGAGCACTGCACTATCAGGTCAGATTCTTTCCACCTCTCATTCCCAGCCCCTCCCTGCAGAGGAAATACCATGAAATGTTTTTCCAGAGGAACATGTTTGATTTTACAGATCATGTTTGATTTTACTGGGAGTAGCCCACACAGGCTCTTTTCCTCTCCATGCAAGGAATGGGGTGAACATGCCAAGGGGCATCAGATGTGTTTTACCCTGAAAACTGTGAAGGAACCAGGAAAGCTGAGTTATGGAATAAGCAGGCTACTGTAGCAAGGAGGCCAAAGGCTTTTCCTACAGTGCAACACCAAATCAGGATTCTTCCCAGGGAAGGTCCTTCACATGCTATGAGCCAGTGACCACTAAGATGGCAAAGTTAGTAAAACTAATGTGGTTCAGAATTGACCCTGCCATGGATTTCAGCTATCTTTAATTCAAATTAAATATCTAACAAGAATTAAAGTTTGTTAAAGAGTGCCACAGATAATTCTATTCAGCAGGAACACCTTTAGTGATCACTGTATCCATCTGAGCTCTCTCACTGTATTGTACAAACCAATGTTTTCCCACACTGACTAATGAGTGATGCATTAATGGAATTACTATATAACCACAGATAAAGGAAGAAAGGAAAACCATTACTAAGAAACATGTGATACCATGAGTCTTAAAATACTCTTGAGATAGGTCTGAACTACTTGCTGGCTAAGAAACTGCTGAATCATGCCCTCAGACTCATACCAAAAATAGCATTGCATTTGGCAAAGCACATACAAGCTATTAATATTCCCTGTTGTTCCAACCTGCTGATTATCTGCTGGTCACAAAGGATGACAAAGCATTCTCTTACCTTTTCTGTCTCCTTGAGAGAAAGAGAACAGCATATATGTTTTCTCTTACAGTATTCCTCCCTTTCACAATATCAGCTTTTAACAGAAAGGTCCCAAAACCTTTTCAAAGCATTCTGTGAGCTCTCTGCAGTTAACACACCTCAGACACAGGTGTGCCTTCTTACCTAGAATTGATGGGTAGCAGATGTCACTCATCTCCCAGCTGTGAGACTCCTCCCTGATGAGACTGATTTTCTCAGTACATGATCTGTAAGTTATTTCTTAGAACTAAGGGGAGAAAAGAATATTTCCTGATAATTTAGGACTGCAGTAATATGAGGAAAGTGATTCTCTCTGAGATCTAGGAAAAAGAGACTGCTTAATGCCCTTAATGAGGAGGGAAGGGTTTTAAAAAGTTGAGTTGAAAAGCTCCAGCTGGAATTAATTATGTTCTCTAAGAGGCTTTGTAATTACTTTGTTTCCTGGCCTTCAGCATCACCTAGGTGAAAGGACAGGCAGGAGCTGCCTTCTGAGCTTCCTTTTGTGCCTCATTACCTTCTCCCTTATTCCTGCTGGCCTGGTGAGACAGAGCCCTAGACTGAAGTCCTGGGTTTATCAGCAGCAAGGGTGCCATGCAGGCTGCTGGGCTGGACTTGGACACGTCTGTCTGAGGTGGCTGGACACCCCTCTTCCAGCAGCACAAGGGCCACCCTGTTTCCTGCCCCTGTGCCAGTGTGCAGGGCCCCTCTCTGGGGCCCCTGCTGCCAGCCTCACCCTGGGACTGTTAAGGATAGGGCTGGAGATAAGGGAAGGAATAAATCAGGTAGAGCACTTCATCAGAAGTGCCAGGGGACAGGCAATGCAAAATTGTAGAGGGCAGAATAAGAAGGGAAGAAATATTTTCTCAGTGTGAGAGTACTACTTCCCACCTCTCTGGCTGACTTAACCTCTCCACAGTGGCTGACTGCCATCCACGTAGTATCTGACTATTTCAGACATCTTGGTGTTTTTAAGAAAAACAGAAAGTGTATTGCCATTTAACCATCTGCTCTGTTCCCTTTACCCAAGAGTTTGGGTATCACATAAAGAAATGTTCTCATGCCTTTTTTAATACAGGAGGGGTAAGAAAAACATCTGTGGTGCCACAGCGACTTGAAGTTGCTGCTCTTGCATTTTATCTGTAACTTACCTAACATTATGTAAATTTTCTTACAAATAAAATCCATCTTTGAAAAGCAAAATAATCTCTAGGCAGGAATAGTGGGTGGTCCAGCTCCCCAGTCTCTGTGGAGGGCAGTTCACTCAGAAAACAGAGGGTGGTGTTTCCAGAGCTTCCTTTACGGAAATGGAACTTGTGGGAGGCTGGGCACATGGGGTCTGCTGAAGAGACAGGCTGAGTTAATTTGCTGCTTTAGCAAAGCTGCTGTATTCACATGGCATAGGGGGTTATAGGTACTCTGTGCCACCTATTTCTGCTATACAGAATGAACCCTCAACACATGATTATCACAGTTAACTTTGTGCTGTGTATTTCTCACAAGTTCATGAGTAATTCATTGAACTCTTCAGCACAGCTCTAACTAGGTAATTCCTCTTGGTCTCTGCTTGATAGGCTGCTCTTTCTGCTGAAATCCCCAAACACGTTTTGCTTCGTGATCTTAGTCTTTTAGATTTCAACAGCAAGTAACTGAGATGTTCATAATCCAGAAATGGTGATGCTCTGCAGTCACTGAGCCTGAGACACAACCAACTTGTAATAATTAGCTTTCAGTCAGTGTCAGTGGGATGGTACACGACTCTCTTAGTCCAGGTGACTTCAGAGGCAGCACGAGGATCTACAGGCAATTTACTGCAGGGGACCAAGTGATGCTTCAGAGCAAGGCACCAGGGAAAGATGGGAATGTTCATAGAATAAATTGAAGGTCTGAAGGGTGCAGTGATTTAAATGACTAAAAGAGAGGTAATCCCACGAAACCAGTAATCCTTAATCTGCAGCATGTCCTGTGTCACACACTCCTGCTGGGCTGCTGCACTTCCTTCTTCCTTTTATTATCCCAGTCTCCCATGCCTCTCTTTTTATCAGTCTTACTTTGCTTCCCTGTGAAACCCAGCTAGAAGTGTCTTGCTCTCTTCAAACTAATGCTTGTACTTCAGCCTCCAGGACTGGCTTACTTTCCCCATCCTGTTGTTTTGTGATTGTAGCCAAACTTCTGGCATAATTTATTTAGCATGATGTAACTTAAGAATCACTGAGTCATCCTCAAGCACATCTAATCATGCCTTGTATCACTTCCTCAGGATGGTCTTGAGAAACTGGTCTTTCCCTTTTTATTAACAGTGTCATTCGCAGATGTAAGCAAAGTTAGCTGAATAAAAATGCACTGTAGGAATTGATACTGGCTGAAGTGAGATATTCCTCACTATTTTATTGCTTAAACTTTTACCCAGTAACAGTCTTCACAAGCAGCAATATATAATTACTAAATTGTTTTTAATATATCTAACAAGAAGCAGGAAAGCATATTAATATCCTCATATTGTGAAGTATTAGCAAGGAGGATTAGAATTTTTTTTTTGTTACTGATTTTGTCTTTTAATAAAGAGAATTAGAAGACCAAAATGGTAATAATCATTCTCTGACTATGTATTTTTGTTAAATCAGTACCACATTTGCTCATTTGCTTGGTGTCTTCTCCCAGTGTGAAGGTTCTTGGAATTTATAATAGCGTATGGAGATCTCCACGTAATAATCATTCTCTGACTATGTATTTTTGTTAAATCAGTACCACATTTGCTTGTTGTCTTCTCCCAATGTGAAGGTTCTTGGAATTTATAATAGTGTATGGAGATCTCCAAAGAATTACCTCAAGTAATGCTGAAGTATGATCCCAAGAAATGCTGCACACCTTAAGTGAATTACAGAAATAAATGTTGCCATTGCCTTGGCCACCATGTTTGGCACTAGGTCACAAGGGTAGTCCATGAAAACCACTGGGAACCCTGCTGGGTGCCCCCAGTTGGCTGCCCTCTTTATCCCTCTTTTCTGGTGTGAAATTTGTCACTGAATACAAAGTTATCTTCAGCAAATACGTGACGCACTGGGAATGTACAGACTGAGAAATCAGCACCTATCCTGAACACACAGGCACAACCTCCATGGTGTGGAGCTCTGTGGATGTGGAGGAATGTGGCGAGGGTTGAGGAGATTGCTGACCTGTGCTTCAAATCCTTTGTGACATTTGAGAGGATTTGCCAGAAAGTGCTGAGGTTACTCACATGATCTTCTAGCACTTCTGTTTCCATGCTCTGATACTGATCTAATCTCTGTCCTCTGGGACCAAGAGGGAAATGCCAACTAGACAGTGGAGGCAACATGAAAAAGGAGTACAAAATCAGACTGAAGTTACAGCTTTCTGCCAAACATCCAGCTGTCAGCCTTGGTCTCTTCTCTTTGCTTTGCTCCATTTAGATAAGACAGCATTTAGATTTTATCACAGCTAAACAGATAAAACAAAACTGTACATTCCTATATAGCCCTGAACTTCAACTGGTAACCTGTATTAAAAATCCAAGTAAATAAGCCATGTTACCATTTTCTTACTGAAAATTTACTCTCTGTTAGCAAAGCAGAACTGGATAAGAATTCATTATTTGTAGAGGGAGAACATACCTAAGCAATCACCTTAAGAAAAGGACAATCTTCTTTTCTAATCTGGTTGCCTTTGGTGTGAAACCAAAGACTAAGCTTCCTCAGGTCTGATTCTGCTATTCACAAAGGCTGTTCCTCCTTGTGTCCACACAGTCATAAAAAAAATAAAGAAAATAGAGGAAACAAACAGTGGGAGAACAGTTTCTTTTCCCTCTTTTGGCTAAGATGAGCCTAATGACACAGATTCAGGGGAAGGAATTAAAGGTGATGAGATGTATTTTGTAGTTAGTGTGAATTTTGCATGGAGGCTGTTGGCATCTGCCAGCATCAGGCACTAATCAGAACAAAAAAACAAAAAAAAAAAAAAAAAAAAAAAAAAAAAAAACCAAAAAAAAAAAGCCAAAGCATGACTGTACGTCTTTGACAACTGAAAATCCCTGACAAGGTTATCCTTGGATAGAAAAGGCATTAAAATTATAGTAAAAGCTCCTTGATGGATGCAAGACAAAAATGGCTTTATAGTAAGATACAAGAGAAACATTGTCTTAAAATGAAGTAAATAGAGGCCTCCCAACACATACAAAGTTTCTCAGTATTCCAGAGGGAGAAGAAACTTTTCAAAAGACATTCAGGAGATGTTCTTATACAAAACCTTTCTCCCTGGAGAAGCATTTCTTTTTCTTTTTTTTTTTTTTCACATTCCTTTGATGGGCATATACTATCAGCACTATTTTGTGTGTTTCCCTCCAAGAGCTGTTTGTATTGCAAGAGCCTCGCTGTGTAGCTCTTAGTGAGGCTGTAGGAGAGTTTTATACCATCCATTCACACCACAGATACCTTGAGATTATGCTCAAGGTATCTGTGGAGTGAAAATTGTGAAATTTGCAGGGGGTTTGTGCAAAGCAGCTGTGTCTGTGCTTAGACAGCCCCTAAGGAAGCTCCACAGCCTGGATGGGGGGCTTGGTGTCTCTTTGATCCCCAGCTGTGTCACAGTTTGCTCCCATCAGGCCTGGCTAAACAATGCCAAGGTCAGTACAGGATGACAGGGAATAGTATATTGCAGTCAAGCAAATAAAGCCAAAACTGTCCCAAAGAATGGATTCTTTATCTTGATTGGTTTAGAAGATAAATGGACTGCAGCACACTTCATACTGTAAACAGTAACTTTGACTGGCCTTACTCCAATAGCAGCTGAACCAATATTTCTAACATGCACTTCTCCTCCTCCCTCTTTCCTCTGTCTTTGGACAGACCACATATTTGTACAACTCCCTGACAGTTTTTACATGTGATGTGGTTGGCCAGTGGAAGGAAGCTCACAGAAGTTAAGGAATTTATACATGGTATTTACTTTTTCAGCTGCCTGAGAACCAAATTGTGCTTTTCTAGAAGCTCGCCCAAAAAAATACACAATCCCAATTCTCCAAGAGCTGCAGCTCTTCCCTAAGTCAGCAGGGTATCAACAGCTAAAGGAACCCAAAGAAGGAGGC